CTTGGCCTTTGTAAGCAACACGATAATTTTACAAGACGTTTAATAAGAACTTGTATTTTCAAAGTGATTGACAAATCATTCCACTTTAAAACTGATATGTTTTCCTCTGCTGCATGATGTTACCTTCTGGCAGAATCTTTTACACTAGTCCCACTGATATTCACAATGTTTCTGAAGATTGCAGAGCGAGCATGCTGGGTACAATGGCTGGGTACTGCAAAATAAAATTAATACGCATGCGCATCATTGCTTTTCTATTTGGCGCGCTTTCGTCAACATGAACGACGCTTACGATTTTGCTCCAAATTACTCATTTCATTCCTAACGATTCGGAGATGACTTTAATCTACCAAGACAACGATTTTCTGAGAAAGAAAATGAACAATCTGAGTCCGAAGACCCAAATGAGCAATCGTTGCTGTTAAGTTCTCTACGCAAGACACGTCCACAAATGTCAGTATAGAAACCAATCAGGCACGACCAGACACCGAAAAATCCAACCCCTCAGTCAAAACAAAACCTTCTATAGGACGTACATTATGAAGAACGTTCTACATGTGATTACCAATTTTTATGAAAACTGCTCTTAGGTCCTTCAAATTATAACCTTGTTTTGTTCCTTACGAGGAGATAGATGTAACGATATAAATTATCAGGCCTTTTGACAGGATGTACTGTATTAGGGCGAGAAGTCTAGCGCCTTCTTAATTGAAGGCATCGTTACAGCTCATACTTTTATCAATAGAGTGGAGATTATGAATCAGTTCATTACACATCCTGTTGTTTACTTATTTGATATTTTGTTGTATGAAACATAACAAATTTACAAATTATATAATTTTTTATGCCTAAAACTCAACCCAACTGTATTCCTGTCTACAAGTGATATGTATCCTTCTTTTGATATTCTGTCTAAGCACTCAATTGAATTAAATAATTGTTTTATATGCACGACTTACAAAGAAACCTTTAAATCGTGGCACTTGATACGGTCATTTACAAATCTAGCTATATTTTGTGTACATACTTTTGATGCAGTAAAATTGATTACCAGCTGTATTTCGCCGTTGACCATTCTTAAAACAATTTATGTTGCAGCTATATTGAACCAAACTGGCAACAATTTCCCCCAGCTGTCTCCAGTATAAAAATTATATAAATATAACTCTATTATCTCGAACAGCAATTTTATTGTTAATATCAACTTTGCACGTACATCGAAGGAAATTGTTGTGTCATAACGAACAACACATGCAATTATGAACATATTAACGTTATCGACATGAATTTTTGAAACTTCTACTTTAAAATAATGAATGAATAGGACATTTTTTTTTGAACGTAGTTCAAAATGAGAAAAATGTTTTATTTACAGTTCGTATCGCCAGCATACTCATGTAATCCTGCTGTTAATCTTTCTGTGTTTATACTCACGGCAAAAACAATGAATTTAAATAGACATAAATGAGGATGATGAAAAGCTGGACTAAAACTTGAGAACTAAAAAACTAAACATCACTTGAAACAGAGCCACCATCAAGGTATGTAGCTATAAGCCTCTACCTCTCAAATTGACTGAAATTATCCATTTCTAAAAGTAGCTTGTGTTGATGTGCTTATTTTTGGTTTCAGCAAGCTATTGAAATTGATAATTAATTCATGCTTTATTTTCAAAGGAACCATAATAACACAAACGTGGCTTTTATAAATATATACGTTATAATGATATTAGTTGAAGTAATTTCAGTTGTATATTTCTTAAAATGATTAATTTCTCACTAGTCTACAACATGTGTTTTTCTTTGTGTATGTACGCTCATGCCTTATTTAAAACGTGATCATTTAGAGAACCTGACATCGATGATCTAACTTGAATTAGTTGAACATGCCAGTATTGTATCGATTCTCTTGGCCTTTGTAAGCAACACGACAGTTTTACAAGACGTTTAATAAGAATTTGTATTTTGAAAGTGATTGACAAATCCTTCCTCTTTAAAACTGAGATATTTTCCTCTGCTGCATGATGTTACGTTCTGGCAGAATCTTCTACACTAGTCCCACTAATACTCACGACGTTTATGAGGATTGCAGAGCGAACATGCTGGGTACAATGGCTGGCTACTGCAATATAAAATTAATACGCATGCGCATCATTGCTTTTCTTTTTAGCGCGGTTTCGTCAGCGAGAACGACGCTGAAGATTTTTGCTCTAAATTACTCATTTCATTCCTAACGAATCGAAGATGACTTTAATCCACTAAGAGAACGATAAACTGTTTCAGCAACGTCATTACCTTTCTTTAACATTTATAAATTTGATTCGGTGTTGTAATGTTGTTTTATTTACTATACTTTTGGTAGAGGATAATTAAGTAGGCTATGTGAACAAAAACGCTTCTCCCTACGGCAAGGAAACTATTGAAGCCAAAATATTAACCCATCGAGTCAACAAATTGTTGACAAACAAAAGAAAAAACAAGCGAAATATTACAACCGTGGCAGCAAGCCATTAATAGATCTCAACCTAGGAGATACAGTACTTATACGACCAGACCAGACGTGCAGGACATGAAGGAAAGAATTGTGTAACCAAAAGTTTACACCCACGTCGTACCAAGTTATTTTGGAAGGCTAAATATACAGACGAACAGAAGACATCTGGCGTCCACTAAAGAAAGGGAAAGATTGATAAAGAGCGTACTGAGAAAGAAAATGAACAATCTGATTCCGAAGACCCAAATGAGCAACCGGTGCAGCCAAGTTCTCTACGCAAGACACGTCAGAAAATGTCAGTATAGAAACCAATCAAGCACGACCAGACACCGACACATTGAACCCCTCAGTCAAAAGAATATTTTCTATAAGACGTACATAAAAATGAGTGTTCTACATGTGATTACCAATTTTTATGAAAACTACTCTTAGGTCATTCAAAGTATAACCTTGTTTTGCTCCTTATGAGGAGATTGATGTAACGTTATAAATTGTCAGACATAGTACACGGGGCCTTTTGACCGGATGTTCTGTAGTGTGGCGAGATTCTAGCGCCATATCAATTTTGTGTTGGAAATAATTACATAAGCTTTGCTTCGGTCGTAAAATATAGTTAAAAAGGCATCATTACAGACGATACTTTTATTAATAGAGTGGAGATTATGAATGAGTTCATTACACATCCTGTTGTTTACTTATTTGATATTTTGTTGTATGAAACATAACGAATTTACAAATTATATAAATTTCTATGCCTAAAACTCAACCCAACTGTATTCCTGTCTACAAGTGAAATGTATCCTTCTTTTGATATTCTGTCTCAGCACTCAATTGAATTAAGTAATTAATTTATATGCACGACTTACAAAGAAACCTTTAAAACTCGATCAGATCATTTTAAAATATAACTATATTTTGTGTACATACTTTTGATGCAGTAAAATTGATTACAATCTGTATTTTGCCGTTGACCATTCTTAAAACAATTTACGCTGCACGAAGTTATTTTGCCTGTAACACTTTATAAAGTATTAAAGTTTATTTCTAATGAAGTTTTTTATGGATTCTGCTAAAAGTTTTGGTTAAGCATTTCTTTGAAATGAATATATTAGCTGTTACAGTGAATATCCTAATTATAATTAATTAATTTTTAAATGATGAACTAAAAATACAAAATACAACATGGAAAGTCGTAAGAGTTTCTGTGATTTGGTGTAGTTGTTTGTTTTAGTGTAGAAGTGGCTAAGAATTGAGAAGTTTGTAGATTGACCCATTTGAGAACATAATGAGAAATCATCTTCGATTAGAAAACAAGCTTTGAAGTAAGAAAACTATTGAAACTGCATTAGCACAAACTTTGCAATGTTATTTGGCCCAAAAATGTTTCTCTACTTGAGTCAGTTAATTGAACCTTATATCAAAAGCAGTTCAGCACAACAATCACCATACGCAATCAAATTTCGTAAGTTCGACGAAAGGGATTTCTTTCATGTTTTTCGTAATCCTAGATTCTGGCGATATGTAATAACATTTAGCAGCCGTCAACAATCAGTTATTACACACTTATCTTTAAAAAAATGCAATATTATCTGAAAATACTGTATTACTAGCAGTAATTTACGGAGGCCCAGAGGTGCAATACACAAACACAAATTCAAATACACAAACGCAAATTCAAATACTCAAACGCAAATTCAAATACTCAAACGCAAATTCAAATACACAAACGCAAATTCAAATACTCAAACACAAATTCAAATACTCAAACACAAGTTCAAATACACAAACACAAATTCAAATACACAAACACAAATTCAATTACACAAACCCAAATTCAAATACACAAACACAAATTCAATTACACAAACGCAAATTCAAATACACAAACACAAATTCAATTACACAAACGCAAATTCAAATACACAAACACAAATTCAAATACACAAACACAAATTCAAATACACAAACACAAATTCAATTACACAAACGCAAATTCAAATACACAAACACAAATTCAATACACAAACGCAAATTCAAATACACAAACACAAATTCAAATACACAAACACAAATTCAGTACACAAATTCAAATACACAAACACAAATTCAATTACACAAACGCAAATTCAAATACACAAACACAAATTCAATTACACAAACGCAAATTCAAATACTCAAACACAAGTTCAAATACACAAACACAAATTCAATTACACAAACGCAAATTCAAATACACAAACACAAATTCAATTACACAAACGCAAATTCAAATACACAAACAGAAATTCAAATACACAAACACAAATTCAATTACACAAACGCAAATTCAAATACACAAACACAAATTCAATTACACAAACGCAAATTCAAATACACAAACACAAATTCAATTACACAAACGCAAATTCAAATACTCAAACACAAGTTCAAATACACAAACACAAATTCAAAAAAACAAGCGCAAAATTTAATATGCAAAATTCATATCCGGTTAATTTGCCAGCCAAATGTGTTCTGAATTTACAAAGTTGCCGAAGTGCAGAATATTGTCATATTCTTATATTTTCGTTTTATTTCGAGAAAATAAGATAAATACAGAACATTCGTGAGGTATTTATTACATTTAGTGTTCATGTATATGTTCGTATTATCTTTCCCGGCTGTTGTTAATGTGAACTTGAACACCATGTTTTGTACAGTATGCAGAGTTCACTAAATACAAGGGGAAATTTTTGTGCTAACTGTGGGACGGATCTTCGAAAGTCTGACGAACGAAGACCTTGAGGAACAGTGATCCATCAACATCAGCTGGGCCTTCTAATGATCCTCGTGCCACCAAACTTTTGACTTTTAAAGAGTATTTGGCAGATATTTCATTTGCCACTGTTGAGACAAGGAAGCGTCAAGATCGTTTTGTCTCCACAAAAAAGAAGAGAAAGAATAAGACCGTCAAGGTTTGTGATTATTACTACCTCTGCAAATAGGTCATGTCAATAATTATTTGAAGGATGGGTGATGGTAGTGAATAATTATATTCAATGCTTGTTATTATGTAGATATTAGTTATGTAATTCCCACCTATTTAAGCTGAAATATAAAATGCTGCTATACGAAATTTGTTTTTTTTTGCAGTCATTCGAATCAACACAATAATACTTTTGTTGCATGCTATAAAAAATCAGGCTTAGGTCTTCATGGAGAAGGATGGAATAGTATTTTCCATTAAAATGTCCAATTATTTTTTCATTCTTCATCAACCATTTTGTGATGCCAGGTCATGAACACCTAGTAACTGGATATTTTTTCCACCCCAGATAAACATTGGAATTATTAAGATGGATGGGAATCATTTGAAAAGTAAGCGAGGCTCACTTCTTCCTATTGATGTAAAAAAATGCCATTCTCATGTTGTCATAAAAACTGCTGGGGTGGAGAAGCAACTGGCTCACAATAAGCAACTCCATAATGAAAGTTCCGAATGGGTTTTGTTATACCCTGAAATGGAGTTTTATATTTACCAAGCACAACAGAAACATTTTCTGTAGAAAAGTACAAAGAGTCCCTTGGCAGGCCATGCAGTAGTGTCAATTTGTATGTTTGCAAGACTTTGGATTATGAAAGTGAGGAGGTTTTCTATTAATTATTAAAACACTTTGTTAATGTATGGCAATTTATTAATGTTGATTAACACCTAATTATGAGCATTTAATAATCAAAGTAATTCTGTAAGGTCAAGTATATAATAATTTTTGCATTATTTGCTTAATTTTATGAAACTATCATGATACAAATAAAATTAAACACTTACTTTATAAGGAGCTAATATTAAATATTACACATTAATACTGTAAAAGACAACATTCATTCAGATGTTATACTTGAGAATTCCAATATGAGTGCATAAGGAAATCAGCAAAAGTGTGTTATGCAACAATCTTTATTTAAATAAGTTAGATATTTGATAAAAATACAAATATTTGTTTTGTAGTTGCTAATGAAATAGTTGATGATGTTGTGGAAGAGCAATTAGATTTAGAAGAAATCAGACTAACAAAGACTCAAAATGAATCATTGTGCACAGAACCACAGCTTGGAGAAGAATCACATTCCACAACTTTGGTTGGACTGTCATCTATTGATAATGCAACTTTAACACCACATGCACTAGAGAACCTCCAAAATTGTGATGCTTTTGAGATGAATACTTTCCAAGGTTTGTGAGTACTATATAGTCTACTTGTTCTTGTCTGTCTTTTTACGAAAAAGATGTTCTAGTTACATAGTATAGAAGAAAAATATCGACTAATTTGATGTTCAATTAATATTTCATGAAATGATGAGTGGGTATTGTGATGATGGTGCAAAATACCATTCGGAATTCATTCAAAAAAAGTGGATGAATGGAATTTGAAAATAGAACAGTCAGAAATGTTGTGGCTTTTCACCCATCTTTACAATATTAAGTGTTCTACATTGCAAGTGAAAGTTCTGAAGGGGCTACTTTTGTCCCAGAAAGTATGGCAAATGAGGTTATGGAGCGAGAAGTGTTGCTTATTCATCGTTGTAATGTGAAAGCTGACTTGCTGCACTATTTTGAAAAAGATGACATTTTAAAGAAGTGTGTGGATGTCAAGATGATAGATTCTAGAGGTTTTGAGGAAAAGGGCGAAGGAGTCGGCGTTGTCAGGGATGCATTTTCTCTGTTTTGGAATGAAATATATAATAGTTTCATGTTAGGCGAGAATGAACGAGCCCCAGAGAAGTGGCAAGCGATAGCTAGAATTCTTGTGAAAGGTTACACTGAAGAACGCTATTTTCGACTCAAAATTTCTCGTGTTTTCTTGTGCTCCTGTCTTTTTGGCGAAGATTTTGTGTCAGAAGATATGTACCTGAGTTCCTTTATGAAGTATATTTCGACCACTGAGTCTAGTGTGGTTGAAAATGTACTTTCTCATTCTCTTGCAGTTGATGATGAAGATGTACAGGATTTTTTAACAGCGTTTGAGTGCAAAAAATCTAGCGTTTATACAGCGTTTGCCGTATAGCTTTTCCCCCTCGGTGTTTTGCCGTATAGCTTTTTCCCCTCGGTGTTTTGCCGTATAGCTTTTTCCCTTGGTGTTTTGACGTATAGTTTTTTCCCTCGCTGTTTTGACGTATATATATTTCTCCCTTGGTGTTTTGCCGTATATATGTTTTCCCCCCGGTGTTTTGTCGTATAGCTTTTTCCCTCGGTGTTTTGCCGTTTAGCTTTTTCCCTTGGTGTTTTGCCGTATGTATCTTTTCCCCCCGGTGTTTTGTCGTATAGCTTTTTCCCTCGGTGTTTTGCCGTATAGCTTTTTCCCTCGGTGTTTTGACGTATAGCTTTTTCCCTCGGTGTTTTGCCGTATAGCTTTTTCCCTTGGTGTTTTGACGTATAGTTTTCCCTCGGTGTTTTGCCGTATAGTTTTTCCCTTGGTGTTTTGCCGTATAGTTTTTTCCCTCGGTGTTTTGCCGTATAGTTTTTTCCCTTGGTGTTTTGACGTATAGCTTTTTCCTTCGGTGTTTTGCCGTATAGCTTTTTCCCTTGGTGTTTTGACGTATAGTTTTTTCCCTCGGTGTTTTGCCGTATAGTTTTTTCCCTCGGTGTTTTGACGTATAGCTTTTTCCCTCGGTGTTTTGCCGTTATAGCTTTCCCTCGGTGTTTTGCCGTATAGCTTTTTCCTCGGTGTTTTGCCGTATAGCTTTTTCCCTCGGTGTTTTGCCGTATAGTTTTCCCTCGGTGTTTTGCCGTATAGCTTTTTCCCTCGGTGTTTTGCCGTATAGCTTTTTCCCTCGGTGTTTTGCCTTATAGCTTTTTCCCTTGGTGTTTTGACGTATAGTTTTTTCCCTCGGTGTTTTGACGTATATATGTTTTTCCCTCGGTGTTTAGCTGCCGGAGGCATTATGTATTCCAGGTCGAAAATCACGCAAATATTTGTGTTTTTAACAATCATATAAAAATTTGCACAAAAGCTGCTTTTTTATCCGTCTCGCTATCATCCCGAAGGTCTGCTGTTTTTATATCACCTAAACTCTTCGATATTTCAGGTATTTTTCTTCCGTACGTATTTACAAGCTTATAATGAAACGAATGAAATCACGTTAGACGAGATTGAAAAAGTTATTGACGAATCTGACAGGTAAATTTTATAACAATCGTCCTCTTATATTAATACAGCGCAAGATAAATTTTTAAAATTCTTTTTTAGGTTTCTATGGGTACGTATGTCTTGACTGATTCAGTGACGTAGTTCTCCTTTATTTAAGGTTCCGTTAAGTCAGTTTAGAGTTTACTGACACGATTTAGGTCAGTTTTAGGTATACATAGGGCTTATCAAGTTGTATTTGATGCAATTAATACATAATTTTTTAAAGCAATTCTCTTTTTTATTACATCGCCTGTTCAAGTACTCTTTTAGCAATTGTACGCAAGTGCTTACATATTGGTGTCGGTTTTGTCTTTCTGCGAATAAATGTTTAATTTTACGTATGTTTTAAAAAATTCTGAAATAACATCATTCAGCTTTGTTTTCCTTTTTTTCTATAGATTGTCTCTTCTTTCCCATTTCGTTTGGGCGATGTTTTCAATTCTTCAAAGTTATAAATCCTCGATCAATTTTGGTTATCTCGTAAGTAGATGAACAGTTAAATAGTGCTGTTTACCGTTCGATTTACATCACGTTACTGAATTTGTCTTTTTCCTTGTTGTATTGTCGTACCGTGGTATTGTATCCTAAACACCATTTGCTAGTTTTAAAATACCATATCGTATAAGGAACATTCTACATCGAACAATCTTAGAAATGTGCACCACCACTTCATCAACTTTTTGCATATAGTGTGCGTTTTTTCTTTACAAACATTTGTGTAAATGCATGGTCTTTTGCACTAAGTTCTTTCCATGTGGATTTGTTTTGAACAGATGTTAGTCAGCAATAATGTGTTATGCGTATGTATCAAACTTGTACACAATGAGCGCTATCATTGTGAACAAACGTAAAAGCAACGTAACACTTTGCGAAGATTTCTTATAAGTTTATAAGAAGGATTTTGTGTTTAAATTTTATAGAATCAAATCTCTATAAAGTAAATCCCATCCGCAGTAGTAACCATGCAACCGATCTTGAGTGCGTTTTATTAATCTGTAATATAAGGTATTAAGAAGCGTCAGAAAATATATGGAGAAATACTTACGTGCAAACCGCCACCTATATAGGAAATGTTGCGCAAATACTACATTTACTGCATGATGACAAATTTCAGTACCTTTCATAAAACCAAATTGTTTATGACGATTTTTAAAATTGTTTGTTGGGCTCTCATATTTATATTGAGAATCCTCTTCCCGCCTGGCACTTCATTGGCAACAATACATTTAACAAAAATATATGTATGCTAATACTTCAAACTAGAAATAGGTTATGGTCACAGATTTGGATACGACATTTTAGTGCGCACAATTCTGAGAGTACTGCAGTAGCCTGCCCTTCCAAGTAAAAAGTAGGTAGAAATACTAACTCACTTTAACTTTTTCAAATGTAGTCCCTGCCTCATCAGCTGCCTTTTGTATTGTTTCATGTTTCTCCTTTGCCGTTGTATTCATTCCCTGATCGTAATAAGACTTCAAGATAGCTTTTTGCAAGTCAATTAATACTTCATACTGTATTCCAGTTGCCGCCATGTTCATATAGTACAGTGTGTCGTGTGCATGTCGTGTGTTGATGATATATAGATTGGTGCATATATAAATCAAATATGGCGTCAATGAGAACGCTTAGAGGATCTCCTACATCGCATACATGCGACGTTCTCAATTTGAGAAGTTTTGCTTCAGACGATTAAGAACATGCGACACGGGTAATGATTTGAATTTTTTTCAAAACCGGCTTTTAATGACAAACTGCTATTTGTAAATAGACGTCTTACCTACAGATATGTAGAAGTATTTGCAGGTAGTTGACCAATCAAAAGCGACATTGCTTACATAGTGAATAATGATGTAAGATAATTGCATGAAATGCATAATACACCAAGATTGCGTGGAACGTGGCGAAAAGATAGAATTAGCTATTTACAGAGCAACATCTCATTAAAGAATTGAGTGAAAAGACGTAACATTAGAATCACATAATTACCTAAATCAGCTCTAATTTTTAGGGAAAATATTATTTCACCACAGCATTTTTAACAATTTTTCAACGCTTTTTTAAATGATAATGATTATAAAGGTTCTTTTAAAAGCTAAAATGTTTTTATTATATGTTGAAAGTTTTGTTAGAAATAATGATCAAATTTATAACATCGCAGTCTTTGGAAATTCTTTATGGTTTTGTTTTCATCTCAGTGAACTTTAAGGATTTAGTACTTTTCCACTGTTGCCAATTCAAACCTTTGTAATTGTTTTGGTTGCCACTATAATAGTGTCCATTCAGATTAGAAATATGACAACTTTTATACCACCAAGCACCTTTGTAGCTAGTGGCACAGTTTCCACTACTTTTATCATTATCTGAATCTTTTGTGGTAAATGCCATACCTTTATGATAAGATAATGAATCTCCAGCAGTTCCTAAGAAAATTAAGAGTTCTCATAAAATCGTATTTAATGTTGCTATACAATTCTCCTTTTGAACTTGCAGAAATTCCCCCAACTAGGTTTTATGCTGTTAGTGCAAGATTTTTAGAGTTTTTTTGTGGTCGTTTTTATTGTGGGGGAAGGGGTGGTGGTATAGGAATTGTCAATCAGTTTTTTCCTCATTTTGTATAGTAAGGAAGGAGGACTGATGTAAATGTAAAAATATGTTATATAGTACCAAGTTTTCATTTGGTATATTCAGGTGCATGCGGGAGATGTAACGACAATCTCATGAATATTGTTACCGTTTGAAGGTAAAATTTGTTAAGCAGCTGCTTGACTTCGATCTCACTCTTATTCCCCAGAACATTATTTTTTGCATCCAGCCTGACTAATGACTGGTATTTAATTTTTATTTCAATAGTAGTGCAAAATTTTTTATTTACTTCATGATATACCTGTAGTGTTGTCCGAGACTTAATTTTATATTTATGTTTTTCATTCTTCTATGTGTAAATTTATCCACGTAAACTTGAATGAATTTCAGTAACGTTTTAGGTTCTTGTCACGAGTTCATGAAAAAACTTTGCCATTTTGTGATGCATATATATTTAAGGCCTGAATTTTCAATCATATACTACAGGCTTGCCTTTTATATTAAATGTTTCAGTGTTCATTTCACAAGGGTGTGAATTCTTTTATGTACAAAATAATTTAGTTGTATTTTATTCCACGATGTTTAGGCGCATGCTCATTACCTGTTAACAAAGCTTCAATTGAATTTTCATTTAATCTTAATGATAGAGTATCCACAATCCATGAATGATGTCTTATTGTAAGTCAAAAATTGTTTTCGTAGGGTGCAACTTAATGATTCACACCACAAAATGATTTTTTATGGTTCAATGTATTTTGTTGTAAGTTTGTAAGATCAAATTGATTATATTTTTTAAGATCTAACAAGACTTCCGCTCAAAGTCAACCGTTGAAGTGTCTATGTTTTTCCCAAAATTGCAGACCTGTCTACGCAAACTGGAATCACTCGAATCATTCCGACGTATAATGCTTATATCAAAATATTGCTTAGAAATTTGTGCATAAAATGTTTATATTTACTAATTGACTCACCAGAATGTGCACCAAGACTCAACTGATATTTATGTGTTTCATTCTTTACAGCAAAAAAATCATATTCAGCATATGCTTTGTTTCCTGACCAGTCTCCCAGGTCAACACGAAGTTTATTTCTCTTGGCTGATGTTAGTCGGTATATTTTATCCAATCCAAGCCACAATTCAGAAGCAAGATTACCAAATCCTTGTGTATAGTTTTTCCAATCTCGATAAAAGTCTACACTTCCATCTTGACGACGTTGAAACACGGTCCAACCTCCACCAGCAGACGTCATATCACAGAAGACACTGAATGTGCCCTGGCCATCTGGATCAATTTGATAAACTCCGTTCTTTGTTTCACCTTTTTTGTAAAGATCTGCACAGTCTTTTTCCTGAAAAGAAGTTTTATTAAAAAAGCTATTGCATTGTACGTCTTATGGGTTTTGTGACTCACTAAACCTATAAGCAAATTGTTACACAACTTTCCTGCGCATACATCCATTGTGCTAAATAACTTTTTTGTACATTTTATAATTAAATGTAAACACAAATTAGCAATAAAATTGACTCAAAATCATTAAAATTGCATTCATATCCTTGAAATCAAGAGAATTTCAGTAACTTAAAAGATCAATTTATTTTATAGGGATTCTGTGACCTTTGGCGTGTTTAATTTATTGTAGAAAACAAATATATCTTCTGATACTGTCAGTTATCATTCGGCTGTCTAACGTACATAATGCAGAGCATGTTTAAATAGGAAGGTTGCTAATAAAGCCTTGTTATAATGAAAGATGCATTCAACGTCTCTTACCGTAAACTTTCATTAAAAGAACACAAAACCTGTTTAAAATGGTCAAATTGAGTAGAAACAAAATCATTTTTGAACATTTTTGAATTTTACACTTTATATTAGAAATTCACCATTGCACAGTTTCCATGCATTAATCAGTTAATATTATTATTAAACATTATTTAGGATGCTACAGGCTTGGTAAAGTTCGTTAATGAACTACCGTTCCGACTTAAGGACAACATGTTTTATTAGATTAAAGACCAAATTTTTATTTAGGTAATGTTATCATATTTTTAATATAAATGATTGACAATTAAGAAGAAAAATTGAATGATATTAACTGATTCTAAACATCAACTGATGTTTTTATTGATGAAGACTTAGCGAGCATTTCAGTGATCATTAATATATATCTCTTGATAAAGGAATAACACAAATCTTTTCATGTGCAAGATTCTTCAACACTCCCTACTGTCTTCGCTAAAATAGAAATTTATTTTTTGTTCAACTGACAAGCGAAACTCCATTTCATTTTCCAATATAAATGTAAAAAGTACATAATTTTCCACCATCTATGTATTCAAAATGCCGTTGGTATTTTATTTTGCATTATACTAAAAATTCAAGAAAGGATGATATTTATCATGCGTTGGTTTAATCCAATATGCTTTAATCAATGCAGTACTAAAGAAGACCAAAAATAAAAATATGCCTGCAGGATATTATGAGGGTTTGCAAGAAGATAATTTTGAAAACGAACACTTGATGAGGCAAACAAAAAAAATGAGCAAAATTGTCTTTTTAAAAGAACTTTAAGTCAGATTTAAAATAGTTTTGCACTACACTTACCTAGAGAAAATTAGCGTGCATTATCAATTATTTAAAATTAACTCAAAATGCCCACTTAAGATACATTTTCCAATAAACTATCTAATTTCTTTATTTTTACCGTCGTTAATTGAGTTTGATAAAAAGTCCATTTTCCTTCTGTGGCAAGTTTCGTTAAATTGCTGTTTATTGTCATGTTAGTAATTTGGCAGTTTATCTCATGTTCTTTTGCATTAAATAAGAAATTGAAGCCAACACATAGCTTCTGTTGATGACATTTCTTTAAACATTCAATGTGATTGAGAACAGCATGAGTTGAAATGATATCTTTTGGTGAAAGAGTCTCACCTTTAAAATAAAGGACAAAACAGAATACATTACAATGGTGAAAATTATGCACTATGATAACAAAGTCCATTTTCTAGTCAGTATATACAAAATAAAATTAAAATTTACAAAATTCAATAAGACAGGAAGCAAACGAAAGTTCCCAATTGTCTTCGTTTTTCAAAAGTAACCAATCATCATTTATGTTCAAACGTAAACGCAAAAATTTCTGTACGTGTATTACGTAGACGGGATGATACAATGGTAGCTAAGATATTGCCCTAAATTTCCCAAATTGCATTTTGCGTTTGAATCGTCATCAGTAGATTTTTTAGTAATTTTCATGACAACAATCATATAAACATGAAAAGGAACTTATTTTGTTCATAACATGCAATCCACACCGCAAAATTATTAACACTTTTTTTGCGTTAGTTTATAAATGAGATATGAATATGTTTTTAATGTCTAGCGTCTTAAGTTTTAGAATTTAAAAAACACGGACATCTCATGTAAATTGAATGCAATATTTTTTCATATTGTATCATGTTAGCGAGCTTTGATTGGCGCAGAAAAATTTTTAGTGATCCATTACTTTCCCATAATGTCTATCTATTACACGTATAATTTTAGCTACAAATGTAAACAAATTTTGTTAGCCAAATATCAAAATTTGCACCAAACGTAAAACTCGAACAGGGCTTGAAGCTTCAGGGAGTGTATGAGAGAGGCTAGGTGAGACAACTCCCCAATCTTTACAATCTTTGGTTTAGTCGGGAAAGTTTCAGGAATTTGTTGGGAAAATTTTCATAATTTCACTGTTCCACAATTTCAAAAAGTACAACAGGCAGGGTTTTGTACTTGTGTACATAAAATCTGATTACAAACTATTAAAAATTTTAAGATAAAGCACTACAAATTCTTTGGCAAATGCATGACGTGTCAACATGTTATGTGTAAACTACGTTTAGTTTTACTGAGGGAAGCAGCTGTTTTGTAAGCTCAACAAAAGCAGCCAATGGTGTCAATTTATCGTTAGCTTGCAACATTAAATTCTTCGATCGTATGTTTGTATAGTTGCATTCACATTATTGTGCATACTAATTTGTCCGCGTTTTTATCCGTGTATAATTTACTTTATCTTAAGTCAAATTTACAGTTCGCAACATTAAATTCTTTGATCGTATGTTTCTATAGTTGCATTCACATTCTTGTGCATGTTTATTACACCGTGTGGTTATCAGTGTATAATATATTTTATCCTAAGTCCAATTTACATGACATAAAGAAACCTGAGTTCAACCAAGATTCAAATTCACACGTGCTACTTTTCTGCGTATGCTGCCACCAAAGCCCATGTTTAACCTTGGTATGACTCAATCCAAATTAGAAGTGGAATGAATTAAACCCAGTCCAAACCTGTGTTAATAGTGTTCACACGCAAAAAAAGGCATACACGCATTCATTTGAACCTGGGTTGAGCCCAGATTAGCTAATGTCGTGTGAATTAGGCTTAAGTTCGTATCAACGTATAGTTAGCAGTTCTTACTTGTAATGATTGATGAATTAATGTATGCATTGTTAGATGTAAAAATTCAATATCAACCTTAGACGGGAGATAGATTCCGTAACACAAACATAAAGATGAGAAATTAAGAATATTGTACGTTTTTCACCTGCAGTTAACAAAAAAAACTCTTGGGCTGCACTACATAAAGACGCTTTCTATAAATAAACTTAAATGAGCGCAAACTTTTAGGCGCATAGTTTTATAGTATTTCCAATTAATTTTCTCAGCAAAAGTGTAAAGTTATGCTTAAAACTGCATGATTTTGATTTAGCGTCAGTGATGGTAGATAAAAATTTCGGATTGGTAAAAAAGCAAGTAGTTACTAATTTAATGAACGTTTTGGTGATAAACTCCTGCGCACTCTTGCGTATTGGCCTTAAAAACATGGCCGTTGTTGCCCTTTACTTTTTCGTAAGCAATATGCAACATCGTTTCTTATGCCCCTTCACACTCTGTTTCCTTGGTGTGCTGTTTATAAACGTGTTACAAAGCATTCAGAAAGCATTTATTGCACTTAATTGTTCAATTTTATAATTTTTGTTCTTTAACGAGTATATAGCTATATATTTTTTATAGTGATTAGTCCGAAATCGTAGTAAGCTCACAAAAGAACTTCTAAAAATTCAGTTGAATTAGCATTCATCATGATTTTAAGTTTTTATAAACAATGCATGATGTCATGACTCATTATTGTGACAAGAAATGTGAAGTGTAACGCCGTATAACTTTATTTTACAAGGTAAGTTTACAATTAATAAGCTATACAACTATATATCTGTCCGATCAATTACCAAACTTTATACACAAGTTTCAGCATTGAACGAATATACGAAAATGAGTCGAAGAAATTAAAGACACAAGAGAAGTAAGTTTTATTATCTAGATGTGATGACACAATTAAAAAAAATTATTTTACTGGCAAATCAAACTAAAGACCAACAAAGCTAGGTAGAAAGCTCTGTTTTAAGTCATATAATAAGCCAACCAACCTTGTCTGCTTGTTTATTACCGTTAAATATTAGATTTTAGTCTTTGAGTAGATAACCTCGCCGTACGGGCTCTGTATATAGCTAAAAAGCCCTTGATCGGATTTATCTAGGTGAAGACCTCGAGCTTTGTTAAAGGTTCAACGAAAAATATGTTTCCCTCCCGTTAAGTTAATAAAACACAAGAATGGAATAATAAAGTTAAAATGTAAAAACTTCATTGCAATTAAGCAATGACAAATGGCCTGCAGGTACGCGTTTTAAAACATACGAGTTTTATATATCCTCAAATTCATATACGTTATTATTATCTTTGATATACTGTAACATACCGTTGTCTTTTGTCTTTATAAAAACACTTTGTGAACTTTGACAAGCATTATTTGATGCATTGCAGAAAGAAACTAAAAGAAAAACTACAGAAACGCACATCAACATCTTGTACAAAAGAAAGAATCACTTTATGTTTGAAAAACGTTTTTGACAACATTTATATAACCACCATCATGAAGAATAAATTATTTTTTGCACATGCAGCTGTGTTTAATATACCTAAATTACATAGAAAAGCACTTTTCCGGTATTTTGGGCATGTTTCAAGGCCATAAAAGCCGATTTTTGTTTAACTTCTAGAAGCTTGAAGAAATATTTTCTTACTTGATGATAATGGAAAAATTTGTTCATTGGTGAACAATATAGTAAAACATTGTTCACATTAATTACATCCTATGTGATACACAATACATTAAATTAAAACTCATATATAAATCATTAAGTACTCGAATATGTCATCTTTTCACACATGTCATAGTTAATAATTAATAAAAGTCCACCTGCTTTGCTAGCTAAAAACCTTTGCTAGCTAAAACCTTTGCTAGCTAAAAAAGTAGCTTCTACATACGTCCTGTTTTGTTTTGTGGTTTGAAATTTAATTTCCTAAAGTTCCATAATGAGTTCTTTAATTACGATATCTAGCTATAGTGTTTGCGTTATTG